TCTTTAAAAAATTCGTTATAAGCTTATAACGAAGTTGATATCCAGATCCTAAAATTCGTTATATCAAGAGTTCACTGAATTACCTTAATTAAAATATCATTATGATATCAAATGAATATTGGAATATTTAAGCCAAGTAATGATACAAATTTAATAATATTATCACACAATAAATATCATATCAATAATTCAACATTAAGTCATCGATACGAACTTTCGATCGAGATATTATATGGGAGCGTTGCCATGTCTCATGACTTGATTTTACTGGCAACATTCCCGTATTGAATAATGCAAAAAATTTAGCAAAAAAAAACAAAATAAGCAAAGGTATCTGAATTCTTGCTAAAGAAGTTGAAGCAAACGATGAGAATAGAGTCAGCATATACATTAAATTCACATGGTTTGGATCATAAATTCATAGTACTGAATCAAAAATATTTGTAACCGTTTCGTTGCAATCTATTCCCATTTTCGATGATGTGATGACAAAATTTTTGATTAAAACATATCTAAAGTGGAAAATACTTGTTCATTATATAAAATTTGTTTATTCAGGAGATTATCAAAAAATCATTAAATAATCTTTAATGATATTATAAAGATTTCAATATTTTTTAAAAAAAATTTTAAAAAACATTTTCAAAAAGCAAATAAAAAGAACGGGACAATGAAAAAATTTGTAGACATAAAGAAAGATGCTAAGGATAATAAGTTAATTTGTAATGTGCTATTTTTGGAAAAAAGACAAGTAGTTTATAACTCAGACTTTAAATCGTAGAGCATGTATATAATAGTTTCACTGATATCTTATTTCTTTATTCCTCGTTAAACGTAAAGAAAACAAAACCTTAAGGTTCTATACAATTATCAGTAAATAGATAGACAGAGCGTTCTGTATTAAAATTGCAACCAAGTTAGTGTATGGTTGTTTGATATTAAAATCACGTTTTTAATTTTATTTTTGACATTTGTTTGTCTAATTTCGGAATGCTCATATAATTTTACTCTGAATTCTTTCAATTTTATTAACGACCTTTACATTTCAAATTTTTGTTTATAAATTCGTTTTATTATTTTCAAGTTTCATCAGTTCATAATAAAACAAGCATTTTTTTTAAAAAAAAACTATAATAATTTTCTAGCACCTTAGATTGTGTATATGATAATACTTTTTAACGTAAAATATTGAATTTGCAAATATTATTATAAGATTTCATAAATTTAGTATAATTTCAAAGGAATTAATAATTTGTACTTGTGAAAAATGCACTATAAAAATATTATGGAAAAATTAAGCTCTGAGATTAAGAAGAAGAACGTTTTCTAAATGAATTTTTCAACGAGCGTTAAGTAAAGCACGATAATCTTTGAAAAACTTATTTGATTATAGAAATAGGAACATACTGAAATCATACAGTATTTGTATAATCATTTTTGTATGAAATTGAAATAACTATACAGAAATATTAACAGAGAATCGTAAACAAAAAAAAATTGAAAATTGAAAATTAAATATAATGGAAAACATACAGATTCCGTATTTTTTGAACGTATGGAATAACAGGCTTATCTCATTGCGTATGAAGTATACACCGGTGGAATTATTATTCTTTTCTATCACGCTACTTCATGCCTTTATTGCTATCTTACAAAATTAATTTTTATCACATTGTCTTGTAGAAGAAGCAATTTAAATTCCAATAAAACTAAAAGCAGGTGGATATTGTGCAAGAATTGCAAGCGGAATGAAGAAAAAATTTTATTTTTAATGTGTGTATAGATTATTTTTACATTATAATTATAATTTTTTTAATTAATTAAAAGCTATAAGATTTAACGTTTCAACAACACTAAATTCCGAGTGGATAATCAGAATTTTAAAGATACATATTCATAGTACAGTTAAATATGTTAATAAATTCATAATTAAATAAGCAAGTTTTTTAAAATAAATTTTCTTTTTATAATTATATCAATTTTACTAAATATAAACCAGTGAGAGTAAGTGATAAGAAATTCCACCGGTGTATACATAATACCGATGGGATAATTAATATTACTAAAGGTAAATTGCAAATAATAAAAAACTGATATTTAAAACCTTTCTTGGCGTTCAAAGTAAACTTACAGAGCAGACAAAAATTGCACAAAATCTGTATAAGAAGGATTCTTTTCATCGGTAGCTAAAAATATGACTATTCACTTTATGCAAAAAGACATAGTTTTAAGAAATATAACGCGAAAATATTCGTATTAGAAGCCAATTAAATTTTGATTTTGCTTTTATTTTTATGTTATTTCCATTTATGATAATTACGATAAATTGAAAGTGATAAGGTTTATCCATTTGAATTTTGCAATCCTTTGTCTGTAAATATTACTCATATTATAATTCGTGTTTATTCACTCCTTATCAACCATATTAGAAGAACTTCTGTGTTAAGTTAAATATTGTACATGGTAATTATAACTTTCAACTCTCGGGCAAATTTCAAAGAGATTATTAAATATCGCATATAATTAGATAACTAATCTTACTATAAAAAATTATAAAAAAATTATATGAATCGGATAATCAATATATTAATTAATTTAAGATCAAATAAATATTAATAATTATTAATTACCAAATAAGCTTATATTGAATCGTTCCATTAATAATTTTCAAAAAAATTGAAAAAATTAAATAAAGTTATTTAATCTTAAATTAAATATAAGCTATGGTCCTTGTCTCCAAAGTTGGAGATTCAACTCCGGTCGTCCCAAAAGAAATCCTGCATCCAGATTGTCGCTAAGGGGTTCAGATGTATCCTATAGGCGATTTTGCGGCAGTTAGCCAACCTTGGCTATGACAAGAAAAGAAACGTCCCATTGCAACCCAATGCTTACAAGGTTGCATATGCAGAAACGCATAGAATGGGCTCAAAACATATGAATGATGACTGGAGACGCACAGTTTTTTCAGATGAAACTTCCTTTTGGTTTTTTAGCAATACTGTGGAATATTGGTATATGGGTCAACGGCCAGTTCGTCGCATTCCAAAGGACCGAACAAGAATCAATGCATGGGGTGGATTTTGTGATCGGGGCAAAACCGGTCTTTACTGCTTCCGAGAGAATATAACTGGGGAATTCTATGTTGAAATCATTAAAAAGCATCTCCCTGAGATCCAGAGAATGCTTCGGAACAATTTGCGACTCCAGCAGGATAATGATCCTAAGCATACAAGCAAAGTAGCTAAGAAATTCTTGCTAGAGAAAGTTGAGATGCGGCAGCCACAAAATATTGGGGATTTGGAGAGTTTATGAAGGAGGAATGGTCAAAAATTCCTCAGGACATTATTAAAAGTTAAGTTGGGTTGATGAAGGAGAGATGTAAGCTTGTAATTGATAAAAATGGAGATCGTGTTCCTTCCCTATTAATTTTTTTTAATAAAATCTCCTGCTTTTTGGCTTTGGAATGAATATTTTTTCACGTGATTTGACGCAGTCATTGTGAAGTTATGCTAAAAATGTTTGTCCAAAGACTTTTGCACCAGACTGTAATAATGAACGGATTTAGAATCAAAAATATACCCTTATATGTAAATATATGTAATCATTGCTAATGAAAAAAATGGCCGCTTTTCTTATTTTTACCCTTTAAAGATAAAAAGAAAGAAAGAAAGAAAGAAAGGCGATAGTATTAAAAATATTAAAGTTATTATACTTTCTTTATTATTATAATTTAATATAGGGCGTAAGTTATTTTTTGTTATTTTTTTTGATTATTTGTAATTTAAATTCAACGAATTTTTGATTATTCATGCAATAGTATATTAGGTGAACTTTTAGTAATTGGAAAACTTTTGAGTCCTTATTTCTTTACAGAACATTGGTTTCCTAAATATGCAGTAACTACATATTGATTATACGTTAACCATGCAGTATCATAGTTAATTTTTAAAAGTTTGTCGTTCTTTCAAATGATTAAATCATTATCTAATTTTAATAAACCGGAGAGCAATGATACAAATTCTTAAAACTTACATTTACGAAAAATAATCGGGAGAGAGAACGGGTTGGAAATTTTCAAATTTTTTTCGCGCTTTCGGAAAAGTATAGAGATTAAGCTTTCATAACTTAGGTTAATCGTTGTATCAATGCTTTCATTTTTAACAGCAATCGTCGCCGCGTCTCCTGCAAAGGTTATTGCAAGTTTTTTTTATTAAATTATCAAAATGTAAAGCTGTATTAAGTGATCAAAAGGATCATTTGTTTTGTACACCTAAAGTTTTAAATTTTCGAAGATTTTAGAAAAATATTTTATGGTTTATTGTACACCAATCACTGCGTTTCAATTTATTGGACTCGAGTCATCAAAAAATTAATTAATTTATTGCCAATTTTTTTTTTTTTTAAAAAAACAAATCTCGATTCTGAATTTCTTCTATCTTAAATATGTTCCGACTTTTTTTGTAATTAATTATAGAACCTTATAAAGAATACCTTATTAAAGTATAGCGAATCGAAATTAAATGATTCCTATTTTTATAAAACGACCTTTTTGACTTATAAATTATCATAATTATATCCTATATTGACTTAATATTTGTCGGTATAAAAAAGTTTCGTAAATATTTAAAGGAGAATCATATTAATTTACGAGTAATTAAAGGTTTAGTATGCATATAAAACTTAAATATCTTATTAAAATAAATCATAATAATTGCCAATTATTCAAAATATGAAACAGTATTTTGCCAAATTAAGATTTTCTATTATCTATTTATCTATATTAGAGTCAATTAATTCGGGAAAATACAAGAGCCTGCTTGTATAAAATGCATTTGAATGAATATTTTGGTTAAAATTGTTTTTTTCTAAATCTGAGAATTTCTTCTCCTCTGCGATATCAAATTGATCGGATAATTCGGATTGTGTGGGTTCATCGCATATAGCAGTTACCCAACTTCCAAGCAATTCATATAATTGAGATGCAGTTGGACGTTTCAAAGGATCAGAATGCCAACATTGTGTCATCAATTGATTATAAACATTTGGAGTTCCATCGACAATTTCAGGACGATGACCAAAGCAAATTTCAGCAGCTAATTTAATGTCATGTGGTCTATTACAAAATGGACGAATACCTGAAGAAAGTGTCCACATAATAATACCAAAGCTGTAAATATCTTAAGCTTTTGTTGCTAATCCTCCTTTTAAAATTTCAGGAGCTACATAAGGAAGAACTCCATAAACTTCATTTGGATTATTATTGCCAACTGGACCATATAACCCTACATCAGAAATACGAATATCAATTAAATCTAATTCATTTTCAACCAATAGATTACCTCCATGAATATTGCCATGAATAAGTCCATTTTCATGGATATATTCAATTCCTCCTGATATTCTCCAAAGCATTTCAACAATATGTCTCCAACAAAACATTCCTTGTGCTTCATCAAGGTATGAATGCAAATCTCTATTCTCATAATATCTCATAACAAACATGTAATTTGAGGAAGGATCTTTGGTTATTCCAAAAAAATTTGCGATACTTCCAAAATGTAAAACCCGGTGAAATTCATAAATCTTATAAAATTGAATAAATATTTATTTATGAATTGTTAAAAAATAATCATAAACATTTTAAATAGACTTACTTGATTAAGAGACTCTTTACTTATCAGTTGTGAATTGTGAAGTTTTTTAAGAGCAACTTTTGTTGGTCCATTACGTGTCCATTGTTCTGCACCTTCATCCCTAATCCATCGAGGACCTTCCAACCAAATTGGTGAATAAATTATACTAGATGCATCACCTTTATTTGTATCTTCAACAAGGACAAATTGCTCAAATTCAATATATTCCAAATAATCTACACTTCCAGTAGCATTTAATTGAGTATGTCTAATAAATTTATCGATTTCAAGATTTCCACTTGTCCAATTTTTAAAGTTTTCTTTAAAGGAATTATTTTCACATTCTTTACACCATTCAATGCTGCTTTGATTTTTTCCACAATCTAAACATAAATAACTTTTACCATTAAATTCTCCTTCTGGTATCAAGATGGAATTCATATAATCAGGATCTATATTTAATTGAAAAGACATCTGTGAAATTAATATCATTTTAGTATCTATATTAATAAATATTGATGAGAATTTAAAAATTCATGAATTTTTTTTTTGAATGAAAATATTTATGGTAACGATGATTATTTGTTTATCCCCGTTTTAAATAATTACATGACATATCATACGTTTTACATCTCATGTCCATAATATTTTGTAATAAGTACTTACATTAATCGATAATTCTAAACGAGTTAATGGTAAATTACTCGAACAGTAAAGAGAATTGGTAAGAATCTTGGTCTTTAAATAACATTTAAAAAGAATATTTTCTTATATCGGAAAAATTATCAATTATTATTTACATATAATTTCACGAATAGCCGTTGATTATCGTTATCTTTACAAATTATCTCATGCATGTAACACATTTTATTTATTAAAATTTTTATATAATTAATTAATATATAATAAATTATGTAAAGATTTTTACAAGCATAATTATAATTTACTCCATAATAATTTAATATGTAATATACTGTAAAGGAACGATTAACACTAATTTTTTTTAAAACTGTAGAGTAATATAATAATAGCTATTATTATCGGAATTTTAAGATGTTAAGGCTAAGTCAGCGCATTTGTTCCAACGAAGTGAGTAAGTATAGAGCAAATCTTTTATGAAATACCTTTAGTTTTCAACGTAAACATTTGATTTTTAGAAAATAACCAAAGAATCATAACTATCCATAACCGTAAAAAGTTTTAAAATTGGCCTTTCGAAGCACTGTTAAGCTTAATCTGTACGTCGTTAAGTTAACAATTCATATTTGCAAACAGGATATTTAATTACGTCACGAGTTTAACTAATTGAAGGGTCAGATCGTCTTTATTGATATTTATTTATTGAAGATAATTAATGTATTCACAAAATCCTATCTTGAGTTCAAAGACAATTACATGATATTTATACAAAATAAACTATTAATAATATAACATAATAAATATGTCCTATATAATGTATATGATAAATATAACTAATATAATGAATAATAAATCTATCTAATATTACAAATTTATTAACAAATAATAAATATGGATTATCGGTCAAATGTGACTAATTTGTCATATTAATTTGAAAGATCAATTTTTGACGATCTTTTAATAATGTTAATCTTACAGTTAACAACACCATCTTCGCATTTCTAATTTTTAATAAGAGGCGAAAAAAGGTTAAATTGTTATTTGGTTCAACTTGGCGCATGAACGTAATGCAAATACCTTGTTGATCGACCCGTGATTCTTTATTTTGATTTGCAAATGATCGACATTTGTCGTTTTCGACATAAAGTTTATTCAAAAGATTTATAAATACAAATGCATATAATAATGAATGATGTAAGACCCTATAAAAAAGTTGATCCGTGTTTTGATTTCCACGTTTTTTTCCGTGAAGGGCTCATATTCACGGAATTTATAATCTTAATTCATGGAAATTTTCATTTCATTTAAACGGATTCCGTGAAATGCTCATTTTCACGGAAGTTTTACAGAAGCCACGGAGAAATAATGGAAAATATTCAGGCAGAAATTTTTATAGGGAGATTGTAAAGATACTCAAACTTATTAATAATTTTACGCTCAAATATTTCAAGTGCATAAGAGAAGTTCCTAAAATGAATCGTTACGCTGGTGTAAACCGCGCTTCTACATTATTGCTCGAAAGATCATGATCTGCGCTCGAGATTTCGAGATTCTTTATTAAAAATTTAAATAAAATTGATTGGCTCAAAATATTGTTATCAAATTTAAATTTTTTCATTCAATTTATTAAATGATTCGAAATTTATTATTATTATTTTTTTTTTATGTCGGCATTAAAAATATGTGAGCTAATCTATTGAAATCGACTGTTCCAACCAAATATGAGATATTGTATCTTTATTATGTAATATTTGAACCTTATTTAGTTTAATATTTATGGTCTATTATCTTATTTACAAACGAGCTAGCAAAATTTGTTTAAATTTTGTGTAACATTAATCTTTCAATTTGGGAACCTTCTTGTAATTAAAATTATTATATAAAAAAGCTTGCATACAATTTGTTTTGATGTTTTTAAAATAGAGTTAATTATTAAAAAGAATGTTTTTAAAATACTTTTCTAACATTAAAAATTAAAGTATAGCAAGTTTCAAATGATTGATTTGATGTGATAGATAAAAATTTTTAGATAAAACGTATAAAGGTCTTATGATCTACATTTTCAAAGAAATAATCTAACAATCTTGGTATTCTTTAATTAAATGATGTCATTTCGAAGAGAGTCCGATAAACCTCATTCAAAATATAATCTGTAACCAACACATTTGTAAAATCAGGTTAAAAATAGATAACTTTCAATTTATAAAAATATTATTTGTTTCATCGTATGACGATTAAGCAGAAACGCACAATAAAGATATATATTTTATCTGTTATGATATGTTTCTATTTACGAAGCGCCATATTGGTCAATTGTATTAAATAATAGCAAACTACCCGTAAGTTTATGTAGATAATATTACTTGATCGGTATATTTATACGCTTACTCAAAATTTCATTCAACCTTTATATTCAATATTAGTAGCACATATTACAATATTATTTTTATGCTCTTCGACTGATATAATTACTCACCGTTTAATAAAATACAAATATAATCTTAAATTGGTAAAATAATAATGAAATTTTTAACGTCGAACAACAGATCATTTTTAATTTATACATTTCTTATGTAATAACATCACTAAAGGTTTACATAACACGTTACACAGGTTACACAGGGATTATTTTTGAACAATATTAATTTTTTATACTTATTATGGAAAATTATCTATTTATATTAATATCTCAGTCATTATGTCTCGTCGATTCATGTATATTTGGAAACAAATATCAAAGGCTCTAAGTTTTGTTTTTGTCTTACAGGATTTTATATTTTTAATATTAATTTCGACTTTCGACGCATTTATTGATTTTAAACCATACTTAGTGTTCCCAAATGGTCGGATCGGGTCGGTTTTCAAAAAAAAATCTCGAACCCTGAGCATAACCAATTTGATTAAATCTCTGATAAGCGAATTAAAAAGATATTGATGAACCAGAACGAAATTAGAGGATGTCTACCCTAAAAAAAGTTTATCATAAGTTACGCTATAGCGAGATTTTTTTAATCATTCTCTATATCGAGATAAATAAATTGTGTACAAAAATATTTATTATACCGCTTCGACTGTTAATTTAATTTTAGGTCTTACAATAATAATTGTATTTTTTCAAAAAAAAAGATATCAATAAATTTGAAAAATCAAATGAAGCATTGAAGCATTGTTCAATTTTATTTTTACTAATTATGGATCGCAAAAAAACAAAAAAAATATGGTTAAAATATCTATTACCAAGTGATCATAGTTATTAGAATATGCACCAAAACTTTTAATCTGCTATTGATTTGTGGTAAACGTGATATGATTTGTCAAAATAATTGTAGTTTTCGTAGAAAATAATCACGTGTATATCTTCTACGCATAAGCCATATGTTAATCAAGTCAAATTAGTTATCTATCTTCGATATTATGAAATAACGAATTTAGAAATATTGTAATACTTTAATTCCTATTAAAAAATCAAAATTTAACTATTGCATTATATTGGACTAAGGAATATTTCGAGTGGCAAAACGCATCAAGACCTTTGAAATTAAAATGAAAGATTTTCAATTACCCCCTCAAAATCCTAGATACTTTCCGGACATTTTTTATGATGCACACGGACTTCGTTGACATTTTACGGACATTGATTTTTCATAGGTGTTCCGTTGAGTCTAAAGATGGACAGACTTATCGGCTGGGACCAAAAAAGAGATATTACTTTTTCCGTGTTTATGATTAATAATCGTCTTATAATGAATTTAAGAATGTGTTTCGATCCTTTGTTTCGTTTACGTAAAAAAAATACTATTTTTTGTACAGTCATTAATATAATTAAATACATTTATATTATATAAACTGTTTAATGTAACGTCCCACTAAATAAAATTCCAGTAATTAATAATATTATGCTAAATTTATATACTATCCAAAGTTGTGAAAATTTATATTAATTTAAAAAGGCCACTTTTAAAATCATGGTGAATGAATCGTTATTGACTGTGTAATCGTTTGTAATCAATGTGCACCCGTATGTAATCTTGCGTAACTCAATTAAAAAAAAGTCGCAACACCATATTTGAAAAATTAAGGAAAAAACATGATGTTATTTGACAAAAATTTGAAAATTTGCGCGTAGAATTTTACCCCACAATCGATAAGTACAGCAGCACAATAGATTTCTCGATTATTATTATTATTATTTTTTTAAAATAAATATCAGATTTTAGATTTGATGTAACGTTAGGATAATCCTGAAAGACTTGTGTTCAAGAGCCTTACATAACACTTTAACTTCTGTGTAAAAAATAATTATCAACTTTGTTGTGGAATTATTAATGCATTGACAAAGGAAAATTTAATATTTGGTGACCGCTTATATACAAATTTATAATATGTCGCTATTTATTTATTGTTACACGAGCCAAATATTTATATAAATACTTGAAGGTAGTAACACGACATGTGCATTCTACAACCAAAATGTGAAAATAATATAATAAAAAAAGGAGGTGTGGAAAGGTTCTCTAAGAGGAAAGATCATAAAACACAAAACATAAGTATTTCTAATTTGGTAAGCTAGTCGGGATTAGCAGGCAAATTTGCTTGCATAATTTCCGAAATTCGATTTTGATCTAAATTTTTTAATTATTAAGGTTATACCAAATATTTTTATATTTTTATAAAGCTTACATTATGAAGTTTATTTAAAAATTGTATTTTTTTATATTCATACTTTTTAGTAATACAATATTAAGAAAAAAATTTGTCAATTTTAATTTATTATTTATTTAAAAAAAATTTAAGAATTATCATTTTAAAATCACTTTTAACATCCCATACCTTAGAAAGAATTTGTAAATTAATTTAAAAAATAATAAATATATTCAAATATATTTAAATTTAATTAGTATTTTTTTTTACTTTATATTTAATAAAAAAAATAAATTTTAGTAATATGTATGTAGATTAAACGTTTTATCTAAAAAATATTTATTAATTTTTATTTAAAAATATTTAATATAAAAGAAAAAATATAAATTACTATTGAAATCGAAATAATGACATAAGTTTGGTAAGTTCATGAGATAGATAACTACTATCTTTATCCAGTAATCTTTAACTGCTGGAAAATTTAAATGTTCCTATATAGATCACAAGTGCTAACCATATTTTAACTCTTCGATAGTTAAATTAACCCAATTTCTGCCTTCACCCTTTGGTTAGTTCCTTGCTTTGCATCCTGAATAGCGGCATATATTTTTGTATTCTTTATGATTGTTTGTAATTGACTTTGTAAAAAAAATAAGCTAAAATTTTAGTAAGAAGTTGGGTTTTCAATAAAGTTTAGTTCACGAGAAAGAGTTGATGAAGCATTATGTAAATGGTAAGTATGTTCAAAAGGCTCAAATTCTGAAAAAATTTCCTCGGGGTTTTTTTATTATTTTGATTTTTATTACGATTATTTTTTTGATTTTGAACTTTCGGCACTTTTGGCACTTTCGATTAATTCACTATCTAAATTATCAATATTTTCGAAATTTCGTCTCGAGTAAAATGGCAAATATAAAATTCATCGTCAAATTCTAGAATTTTGCTTAATGAGTTGGACATCATTTATTAAAGAAAAAAGAAAAAAAGTTCATTAAAATTTGCCTGTTTGACATCTTAATACATTATCATTATCATATATATGATCGATAAGCTTGTCTGACAATTATGTGATACAATAGTAAATAATATTTGAACTTTAAAAATAAGCAGGCAAATTTGCCTGCCCGACACTCCGGAGGATAACAAGATCATGTTATGATCCTAGTCATCGCAAACAAATATGTATCGCCGCGATTCTCAGCAATACATAAATAACTCTCATTAGCAAAGCTCCGCATGATTACATCTGTCCAAATACTGGATAACTTTAAGGTCTTCCTGTGTTAAGTTATTGCACTACATCATCGTTCATTTTACAAAGAAACTACACGTGACGGAATTGAGTTTGATATTCACTCTAAAAAAGAAAATTGGGAGAAAGTATAAGATGCAAAAGAATTTGAATATTGAACCAAATTGGTACGACATATAAAGTTTTTGTAATACAGAAAACCTGATGTGATCAAACAATCGTTAATTATTATTTTTATGAAGTAATTTAATTTTATGGCTGTCCTTAATGATAAAGCCTGGTGACAATGGTGCAAATCGACCCCTATCCGAAGCCATGGGGACAGAGTCAGCCTATAGCCATCGCCTCCTTACACAAGAGGGAATATAAACACTCACAAAAGTTTCTTGTTATGACGCACGATACTGCGCCAAACATAGTTGACGAATGGTGATCCGATTCTCAATTTTTTTTTTAATAACATTTAGATGTTTTTGAATAGAAAGTTGTAACTTTTCGGCAAATTTTTTCCAAATTTCATTAATGTTTACATGTTCTTGATTTGTAACTTTTAATAATTTAGAAACATCTTGAATTATAAATGAAACTTCAAAAAGTGCATCTAAGTAAATTCTATTGTTTACTTGTGGTATTGAAATTCCTATTTAAGAAAGCGTTTCTTGTAAAACTCTGCCAGGTGAAGAATTTGAGTCATGAGGAATAATAAAATTTGAAAGGTCATCGAAATGTTAAGATTTGATAATTGATAAATAAAATCTCTTTCAGCTTCTTCTTTCATTAATTTAGTTTGGTATCTTAAAAAGAAAGGAAAAAAAATTAATTCAATTAACAATAAAAAAGGTTTTATAAACAAAACCACTAACTATGCTTACAAACTAGAGACGGAGGCTTTAAAAACCTTTTTATGAGGTGTTTTTTGTGGCTCAATGAATTACAGTTAATTTCCTATAATCTTTTACCAATATTGCAATATGAGCAAGCTAAACTCGATTACATTTATTGTTAAATCTATTGTAAGTTTGTATATTTTGAAACCTTCTCAAGGAGTAACGTTAATTTCTTTAAATACGATATCTATAGGGTTGGGAAGTACAGTATTAGTACAATGATTAGTATAGTAGTACAGTTAGTACACTATACTAATTAAGTACAGTACAAGCACAGTGTTAATTTTATCTAGTACATACAAAATTCCCAATCCTGTCTATAGGTCTTGGATCATAATGAGGTATTTGTCTAAAGCATTTTTTAATTCAATTCTTTTATTTTTAATTTGTTGCTCAATTAATATCGTACGTTTGGTGATTCCTTGTAATTGATATCATATTTTGATAGGAATTTTTTTTTGTGTGTCTAAGACAAGACGCATTTACCATTTATTAATAATTCTTCCATATCTCCTATTATTTTTAATTTGTGATCATGCTGGACATGTTTTTTGCATCTGTTAATGAAGTTGAGGAAAGGGATTTGATTGATTTCTATCCCTCTTCAACTGAACTTTTCATAGTATTTGTCCATTTCAATATGCATATCCATGGTCACCATTGAAAGTACATACACCAATCATACTTTCCTCATCCCAATATATCTCATTAAATGCATCATTATTATTACATCTTGCTCCGTTTTTAAAAATGAAAAATTTTATAAAATAATTGAGAGATAAATTCTTATGATAAACAATATTATTAGTGACAATAAAATAAAAGGGTTGACGTACCTTGACTTTGAACATTTTCATGAGCACAGATAATGCAAATGAATTCTGAAGGACAATAGTCTTCACAAACTCCAGCACATATATGCTATTAAAATTGAGATACGAGACATAGTAAATCATATGGTCTGTACCTCAATTTTAATAGCACACTACCCATATGTCCACATTTTAATTGTTTATTATCACCTTTCATTATAAGGTAATCTGTGACAAGGAGCTTCACAACTTAATTCACATCTTCCTTGATGTTTAAGCATTTCTCTGCACATACGTCGCAAGGTTCTAAACAACCAAGATAAACTTGATGTATGCATGCATGATACAGTACACTTGTACTTACATGGTGGGCACACTTTCCCTTCATGACAATATTGATTACATATATGAGCACAAAATAATGATCTATTACAAATATGTTTACATTTTCCATGGTTCGTTCGGGTGATTTATTGTTCCTTCATCTGATTAGTTTTGTTTTGTCACAAATACAAAATCAATAAAAAATTATTATCCATAAAAAAATAAAGACCAAAGTTTATAAATAATTTACTTACATGAATTACTTTGAATGCTCGCAATAAATTAATTGCTTTTTGACCAGAGTTAAACATCGGGGAGTCTTTTTCTTGATTTTTCTAACTTTTTGCATTTACTAATATGTGATCACATTTAGGTAACATAATATCCCTACAGAAAATTCAGTTTCCACAATCTTCAAAAATAAAGTTTTAGTCATGGATTTGATGTAATCTTGAATTTTTTTCTTTTTTTAATAAAAATTGATTTTTCTTACAATTCTTAGGGAATTTAATTCCAATATGGTCAGCATTATCTGAATGACACTTGTAAATACACGTGTATCCACAAAGAAAAGACGATATAATTGCTGAAATTAAAAAAAAAGAGAGCCAATTTAATTTTCTTCATTAAAATGCGCAATATGTGATGTGAAACATATCTCATAACATCATAACATGGACTAACTTGTTTAAACTGTTCGGCTCTATTAATCACATGCTTGTAATCGGGATGTTGGTTACATACAGTTAATAGCAGTTCTTTGATGTTTCCAGGTTATAAAGGAATTTTAATATAAGCAGAAGGTGTCGTGTTTATTGTTTTACTAATTTAATTAATAATAATCGGAATTCCTATCTAATACAACATAGATATCGTATTGCCT